TAGCACTTATATATCAAATAACATAAACTGAGTCTAAAATGAAAATTGAATTATTATGGGCTACATGTACACAGATTCAAATCAGTGATCTATAACAGAGTCATTTTTAGAGATCAGTGGTCCTGTCGTATTTATATTTCTTTATACCATTGTTTATTTTACATTTATGCATGTTTTACATTGCATTTCTCTTACATTTTATATACAGACTGTTTGTTTAAATGTGTTTTAGTAAGTTCTGTGTCTGTCTCATGAGAAACATGTCTCTGTACATAAGACAAAGCTTTGACTGAAGACAGAGATGTGGATGAATCTGTTCTCTCACACCGGCGCACACTGATCTTTACTAGTTAGAATTTATGCAGCATATTTTGTGCTTTCAGTCACTAGTTAAGATTGTATATCTAATGTTTTTTTTGTTTAGTGATTTTTATCTTCTCTTGTATTGTATTGTAATGTGTTGGCATATTGTAACTATACAAATAAAAAACTTGATCATTTTATTTAGTTTGAAGAGTTTATTAATTCAATAGCCAGCTATCAGTATAATTGGAGATACAGCAGATACCAAGATTTTCCTCTGAAAAAGTCACATCTGCAGTTCCTCGAGATCACCGCTAGAGGTCAACACACCATCACACTGTGAAGTACAAGCAACAGTTTCAGCATGTCACTATTGTGTCCAAACCATAGACTGCATGCTCCAAACTTTGTCCAAACCTTCAGCAGAACTAGTATTTTACAGCTCTGTGTGTGATTCGTGCTGTGATCCATTATTCCTCTCTGTGCTCCACCATCATCACCACTGCTGAGACTTTAGTGTACAGATTATGTAATGAATATGAATGAATTATTAATACACAGAATTCTATGCACATGAATTAGATATATTTACATTAGAAACACTTAATCTAATAATTAACTTATTTAATTGATTCGTAAGTTTGTAATATTGAATTAAGCAAATTATGCATAAATCGAATAACTAGATGTACAATATTTCCAAATAGTTACAAATTTCTCACAAAATAAAATGTACATTTGTTCATTCACACTCTTCCATTCATTTTATTCTGGAACATGTTAGGTTTGCTATAGCGTTTTTATTTCTTAAATATGAATATAAATGTATTATAATGTGTTAGAGTGTTTGTTTGAATGAATATGAAGTGGATGTGTTTTCGCGAGGTTTGTGTTTCAGAGTGTTTGTATGAATGAATGAATATTAAGTGGATGTGTTTGCGCGAGGTTTGTGTTCAGAGTGTTTGTATGAATGAATGAATATTAAGTGGATGTGTTTGCGCGAGGTTTGTGTTTCAGAGTGTTTGTATGAATGAATGAATATTAAGTGGATGTGTTTCGCAAGGTTTGTGTTTCAGAGTGTTTGTATGAATGAATGAATATTAAGTGGATGCGTTTCGAGAGGTTTGTGTTTCAGAGTGTTTGTATGAATGAATGAATATTAAGTGGATGTGTTTTCACGAGGTTTGTGTTTCAGAGTGTTTGTATGAATGAATGAATATTAAGTGGATGTGTTTGCACGAGGTTTGTGTTTCAGAGTGTTTGTATGAATGAATGAATATTAAGTGGATGTGTTTCGCAAGGTTTGTGTTTCAGAGTGTTTGTATGAATGAATGAATATTAAGTGGATGTGTTTGCACGAGGTTTGTGTTTCAGAGTGTTTGTATGAATGAATGAATATTAAGTGGATGTGTTTGCGCTAGGTTTGTGTTTCAGAGTGTTTGTTTGAATGAATGAATGAATATTAAGTGGATGTGTTTTCGCTAGGTTTGTGTTTCAGAGTGTTTGTGTCACGTATCCGGTCCATGAACTTCCATCTGCTAGCCATCAGAGGTCACCCTTCCCATTTCATTGACTCTTGCACTACACACTGTTGCATATCACCCGGACTACATATCCCATCATCCACTGCACTAACGACACACACACTGTTGATTGCACAGCACTGATTGCACACAGCTGTTATCACTCACACATCCCCTATTTAACTCTCACTCTGATCCCATTGCACTGCCGAGTATTGTTTAGCGCCTATCGTTTGATAGCTACTCTACCGAGCCCTCGTTTCCCTGCCTTAGCCTTAGCCTTAGCTGTTTTCTCGGTTCCTGATCTTCACCTGGTTTCCTGGATTTCTCCCTTTAGTCTTCTCCCTTCTGATTCTGTTTGCCGTTTATCGACCTACGCTAGCCCTAGGACTATTCTTGT